TAAAACATACTCTCTAACTGGCGTTTATGACAATTTACAGCAAGTTCGTAAATCATCTTAAGATGGAAGTGCTCTTGAGAATGCTGATATATTTGCGTTATATAGTTAATTTTTAAAAAATGAATCATTTGATAATGCAATTCTATAGGTCTGATTGGCTTAACCATCATGGTATATGAGCCATTATACCGTGCCCTCCAAATATGGTAACTGTAGTCTGCTCAGAATTAAAAACAAGCTAAAAATCGGTTGTTTTTACAAATAAAGTCGGGAAGAATTATCGATATTTGTGGGCGATTTTAATGAAATAATTATTCCACTCGCGCTTGTTGGATATGAGATGATTATAGCCAACGAGGCGCTACGCGCCTCGTTGACTCTTTACCATCTCATATCCAACGCGCACTCGTGAAATAATCGTTAATTGCGGGCGACAAGAGGAGCCTGCAATCCTAATCTCCAAGTTACAATTACGCATGCGTCGGATGTATGTAGCCAGCATTCGTTTGGACTTCCCCTAGGAATGTATGGAATGTACAGAACGCACTTTGATCACTCAGGTCTTTGACCATCTGTCACGTGAGACTTACGCAAAGCACAGTGCTGGACCAAAAGTGTTTTGACCTTCGATCGTTGTCGCTCCCACTCCGTAACCTTGGTTATTACTAGTTATTTTAGTAAAAGGTAAAGGAAAGATCCTTGGAAATTGCAGTTTGGTCATGTTTTTCTTGTGACAGCTTCAAAAACGAATTAACTTAGCTGGTAACAATAACAAATTTGATCATTTGTTATTCGAAGTAAGATCCATTGGGTTTTCTTTTGCTCATTAAGTGCTGATAATGCCATATTTGTTCAGAAGATAGAATGTGTCAAAGAAACGCTGTTCTATGAAGTCTTTTGTTTTCATCATAGATTAATCAATCAGAACCGCCTGGAGACAATCCCTGATCACGCGTTCAAAAACTTGGAGAAACTTTTAGTATTGTAAGTTAGCAACTGGAGAATGAGAACTTCTCTTGCATTCAGAAGCTAGCTACAGCGTTAGGTAACAGGCAGCTCAACGCAGGCGCGCGACGATAGTGACGACGATGGGTGCATACGGAAAATTGAGCCCCGAAGTTCGCTAAATCTGCCTAATTTCAGCACTTACAAAACGATCATATCTTTGACTGAAGTATCAAAATAACTGTTTCGAACTGAAGAAGAGCAAACTAGGAGAAAAGACTATATTAAAGCTAATTTCACTTACAAAACAGCGACTCAGGTTTAGCGAAATCTTTCTGGTGTGACTTGAAATGCTCAGGAATTATCAATATTAGTTATACAAAGCGAGATTTCGTTGAGGTAATGGGATTTTCTCATCAAAGTTCTAACGTAACGAAGTAAAGGAAAATCATTGAATCAACTTGACCCGTTCGACTTTTTCTTATATTTCTTTCATCTCACTCAAGACAAACTTTCCGGTCCGGGTATTTCCCCTGTGTTTTTGAAATATCTGTCGTAGATTCTTAGCAGCAATAGTCATCCCCCTTCTTTTCAAATCATGCTAACCACCAACCTACGGTTGTTATCTTATTGGGGTTAAAAATAAATTTCAGAGGGCGCGGTTGTTTACCAGGCCCCGGTTGTTCAAAGTGTAGATAGCGCTGTCCAACGGATAAATGACTGTCCAGTGGGCATGGATAAGTATTAAGAAGACCACCTTTGCTACCCAGTGGGTAGTGATTTATCCCGTGGATAGCGTTGTCCACCATTTTAAACAAGTATAGTCAGATCTTTAAAAAGATCGGCCGGCAAACATAGGAAGATGTTTTTGTTGAAAAGTAAAGAGGTTTTCTAAAAACCTATTTCTAATGTTTCTGTAAAAAGCCTCTTGTCAAACAATTATGTTTGTTTTTTAGTTCTTCAGGTCTAAATTATCATTTAACGGTCATTGTAAAAAAAATTGTATTTTTACCCCTGGTCAGCTTTCATCAAAAAGTGGTCTCTTTCAAACCGGTTTTTTCAATTTTTCTACGTTTTGGCTCTTCACGATAAAAGAACTTCATATTTCCAACAATTGTATGTTTTGGATTTTTGATTTTAACGGTTTTTGGCGTCTCGATCACTGCTACAGTCATCTAGTGTCTTTTCGCATTGGGCCCTTTAATAGTAAGTCTGACTTCAATGTTATTTTATGATTTTTCTTCTTCAAGTCTACTTTCAGATAACCACTATCAAGGCAATCGGGTCCCATGCCTTTTCCTGTGCTTATGAGAACCTTTTACTGTGAGTAGCTTTTCCCGGCTTTTATTTTTAAAAATACTATTTAGCCGATATGAATTATATCGAGTTGTTCGTTTGTTTGAGGACAAGAACGCGGATTCTGTGATAAATGTAAATGTAACTAGGTTCCTATGCAAATGACTCACACTATTAAAAGGTATCCGGCGGGAACTGGCTTTTGAAAGGCTTAAGCCCTTACCCTTCGTCAGAAAGAAATCTCAGAAGTTTTGCTCATGTCTCATAAAGGATTAATATATTAAAAAATTTCTGTCTCTTTCAAAATGTGCCGGTTGATCTAAATGACAGAGAGCCGTCGCAAGTTACCTGAAAAAGAAATTGATTTCTTCTAAGATTCAGTTGAAATCTCTCGTTATCTTCTTTTTGACCAAGACAACTGAATAGCTTCTCTCTTTTTTATGTTTGGTTTGGTTTTGTTTTGTTTTTAGATATATGATACGGACGAAAATGAAAGCATTTAGCCGTCTCTCTTTTAAGGACACGAATAATCTGACCACTATCTTGTTAGTACAATAGTACACGATACACTTTTCGAATGTAATATGTATGTTTTCTTTTGTAACTGTTACAAGTGTATATAAATCATGAATTATTCTTCATTTAAAATAACCATACATAAAGCAAGCAGTATTAGCAAGCATTGGCTGCTAAAATCGTTGTCTAACAGTTTCGGTTCCAGTCCCTTGGTTCAGTGTTATTTCCAGGGCACAGCATGCTACAGGTTCTACGTCCTTAAAGTTCACCTTACTTATAAATGATTAAAAATGTTTGTGACGTTGAAAGGATTTTAGTGGAAAATAGCCTGTGTACAGACGCCCCTCTCCCCTCAAAAAAATCGGGTAGAGAGACGTCCCTCTCCCTGATTTTTCCTCAGGGGAGGAAGGCGTCTGTACATAGGCTAGCTATTCGCTCTCATTTAAATCAATTGATAAATTAAGTACAAAATTTTAGTTTTTTTCGAAACGCAATGTATTTTCTCTACTTCCACTTTTATTATTTCGCAGAAGCTTGGATGAAGGAGAAATCGGCACAATGAAATTCATGGACACACATCATACCTGCACAATTTATATGTAAGTTGACTCCAATACTAGCTATTTAAAATGTTAAAACAACTTCAACAGCACGAGATAAACACATCATAGGTCTTTCTCTGCCACACCCAAGCTTTCTATCTCCTCTTTCGTATGTTTTCCTGTTCGCTTTTTTTTTTCACCGCCGCTCATTTTTATCAAGGTGATGTGAATTTTTGGCCGACAGTTACAACAACAACGAGCTTTATTTGCATGACCATAATTATACAAACACCTGTACAAACACATACAGTATTGCAAAAGCTATGTTTAGGAATCAAAATTACAACACAGGGCAATTACGTTACTTTGATAATAATTTGTCACGAACACCAAAACAAGCTGGAATATATGTCTTTTCCCGTGGCTAATGAGCCCTCCTTCGCTCTTTCTTTCTAACCCGGAAATCGTTAGAGAGTTAAACCGAAAGGAGAGTTTTCACCTTTTCAAAACAAGGGATAAATTCTTTTAAAAAATGTCAGTTAAACGTAACGGAGAGAGATTAACCGTAAGCTAAGAAAAGCAAAAAAGGCTCAGAGAGGAGTTGAAGCACCATAGCGACCAGTGTGGGGAAGGCGGACTGTCGACTTAACTAACTTTTTTGCCTGTTTAGTGGTTTCGGGCAAGGTGACTCAGAATACATCGATATCGATCAGTCACCCGCTATTCTGGAAGGAACCCAGATAGAAGCACGCTTGGCGGAGTCTTTCGGTCGGGCTGGATTTGCAAATAGAACTTACGGGAAACAAAAACTTCTGCCATGTTCAGTGGGTACGTTTGTAAATTCATCCGTGAGTGATCCCAATGAACTGAAATGCGTGGAATGTCCGGCAGGTACGTTCTTCATTGAATATTTAAAGAAATAACAACTGACGAAGATATTTACCTTTCCTCTTCCTGCAAGGTTGTCGATTTGAAGAGTTTATTATATAAACACCAATGAAATACCAGGTGAGCTTTCGCGCGAAAACATGATATCTCCACACGTGAAAATATCACATGTGAAAATATCACCGTTGCTATGGCTACATAGTAAATCGCGCCTTTCGCAGGAACAAACTGTTTCATTGAAATGGTTTGGTATTTCATTGGTGTTTATATAATAAATAGAACATTACATGGCCGCTTGGAGATACGAAATTTCTCTTCTCGTGTTCGCTGCGCTCATTCATGAAATATTTTTCCAAATTAACCTTTTGACTTTTGCTTAAATTCCTTGGACGTCTTAACCATCTTTTTTCATAGCATATATTAAAAAATAACTATTTGACAATATTCGCTCACAATTTTTTGGGAGGATTTTCCGTTATTGATGAATCCAAAATAATTAAAAGATGGGACGCGATGTGGTAGTTTATGCGAAATCGACCACGTAAAAAGTATCCCATGCATTGTTATAGCGTTCTGTCACAAAGGCGCTCTGGCAAAAAAAAATTAAACCATAAAAATGGCGTGTATGCGTCAACAAGAGGCCTTACCGTACAGAACGAAAGATATCCGTAAGGGTGCAAATTTAACCTCAATTTGGAATCTGGCATTCTTCGGTCGCAGGAGAGCCAAATAGTTGCCTGGCTAGAATAAAACTGAGTATGATAAAACGATGTTGATATTGCTTTTGTGTTTTTTATCTTTGTCCTCCTGAAAGGTGGATTTTACTCCGACACTGAAGCTTTCGCTAGTGACAGCTGCTTGAGATGCCCCAATGGAACTTTTGTTCACTTTAATAATGCACCTGGAGTTCGAAAATCTGATTGCATCGCGTGCCCACAAGGTATATGGCATTCATTAATACTAGCCATTATTAAGTGGTAAGAAGCGCAGGTTCAGTGAGCATGGGGGTCACCGGCAAACCTAATTATCGTATGGATAGCAACGTAACTTCAATGATTTTAGCGGTTGTTTAGGTAGGACTGTGAAGTCCCAGGTTAGGTTAGGCAACTCTTGTGGGCGGAGTAACTTTCGTATCCGGGTCATCAATTGGCAATTTTCGAGCTACCCCAAGCCTTCTCTTCAAAACTTGCGTTGGGTTGTTTGCGAATCCTTTTTTCGAAAATTAGAAATACCGTTCTGGCATCCCCCTCCGAAACTCAGCATTGACAGCGCCACTTAGGAACGAAAGATAGAGTGACCGGCCGCGAATAACATCTCCCATCATTTTCATCGTTTCTTCTTCTTTCTTTTTCCCTTTCTTTGTTTCATTGTCCTGTTGTATAACTAAATGTCTTAAGTATTGCAAAACCAATCCTTTGGCTCGCTTCACGATAAATAGTTTTCTAATCTCATTTTACTCAAATGCGAAATTGGTACTAGGACTCATAGAGAATGAGATTTCTGGAACTTGAAAAGGCCGGTATACGAAGCTACTCTGTCACCTAAATCCTCCCCTCGCGTCATTTATATTTTTTCTCGATAATGTTTACATGGATAGGCAGCCGCAGAGTGTATCTAACATCTTCTTGACGGAATGTTGTTAAAATGATTTAGATCATTAAAATAGTATTGTGGAAAGGCTCTTGCCAGCAAATTATAATGATATCCAAGTTCATACTTCAATTATTCTTTAATTATTCTCGTGCTATTTGCGATAGGGACAGACACAAACGAATTCGCAGGATATCGCGCCTGTAAATGCTTGAACAACTTCTACCGTACTCATTTATTTGAAGACTGCAAGCCATGCGATCAACCTGGGTTACAGTGTGTGCATGATTTTGCTACTCTACGAAGTGGATACTGGTGGAAGTGGAGAAATGAAACAGACAAAATGATTTACAAAACATTTACTGAGGGTCTAAAGAACGCCGGTGTTACTCCTGTTGTGCGCACAAAAAATGTCGCGTCTGAAGGGTCTTATATACCCATACAGTCTTCCTCAACCACAAAAATGTCCGAGAGAAAAATCGTGCATAGGAGGTTTAGTATCCTTATGCGCCGTTGGTTTCGAAGGCCCCTTGTGTGAAATTTGCAGTAAAGGATTCCATAAACAGCTTAAGTCGTGTAATAAATACCCAACGAAGAAATGGATGATCGGACAACTTTCAGTCCTGGCAACAGTCATTTTAGTAATAATTGTTATTGTGGTTTGGACAAGCAGGAAAAAAGGCAAGAAAAACGAAGAGCGTTCCTCAGTAGATATCATTCTTGGGAGGCTAAAGATAGCCATAGGTTTTTATCAAGTAACGTCGGGAGTTCTTGAAGCATTCTCGTACATCAAATGGCCAGGTTCGCTCACTCAAATTGGAGAATACTCCCAAGTGCTGCAAGGAAACGTCTTTCAGATTGCTCCAATCCAGTGTCTTTTTGAAAATCTCAAAGTTAATGCATTTGGAAGTTTGTACGCTATATTAGCTTTGAATGCTACTGCAATAATTGTGGCAGCTGCTGTTTATGGAATCAAGAAGCTAACTTTAATGCGAAACACTCTTAGCGGAGAGGTGAAAGTCAAGGAAATGTCCCAAACGAAAGAGGTGATCTACAGAAATCTGTTTTTCTTCCTTCATGTGACTTACCTGAGCACCTGTTTGAAAACAGCAAACGTTCTTCCCTCGCTTGCCACACGATCTGCTTCGACGAAGAAGACGAAGCTTGCGAAAAGTTCCTTAAAGCGGACTACAGCATCGACTGCACAAGCTCGGGATTCAACCGTTCGGTGTTCGTTGCATACTGCACTGTGGCGTACATTGTGTTTCTACCAACATCATTTCTTATAATTCTTTGGAGGCAAAGAAGCTATCAAAAACAAGAACGTGGGCTCAGTACTAGTGTTAGTCTGCAAAACAGAGAGGTTTTGACAGGGTTGCGGTTTCTCTTTGAAAACTATACCGAGCAGACATGGTATTGGGAACTGGTTGAAACAATTCGGAAGGTGGTTTTGACCTCTGGATTGATCCTTGTGGGAAGCGAGAGCAGGGCCTATGTGGGATTGGCTTGTGTCATATCAGGTCTCTACGGGATGTTCTTCGCTTATAAACGACCTATTCTGGATTCCTTTGAAAACAAGTTAATGCTGTCATCCCTTGGCGTTACGTTTGTCAATTTTGGAATAGGAGCTGTCAGTCGAATCCCAAAAGAAGGCCTTCCTTCCTCAATCAACCCATACCTTGACAACATCATTTTCAATGTACTTGTGTTTGGAGCAAATTCTCTTGTCATTGGACTTCTTCTGGGTAAGTATTGCACACCTACAATCCCAGACAAAAGTAGGAAGGTTGTACAACTTAACATTAGTCCATTTTAATCCTCAAAAAAGAGACTTTTCTCTTTTGCTAAGTATTCTCAAACACCTAGCCAATTAGCTCTCAGAAAAGAATTAGGAACCTTATCGCATTACTATTACTTGGATTAGAACATTGCTTTCTTTGGAGATTTTAAGGTCGGTACACACATGCGTAAGAGGTTCCAGGAAACCTTTCCGCAAAATTCCACAAGGGGATTTCACTGATGACTGCCGCTTAAACGCTATTAGTATTTTAGGATCTTTTTAACATTTTTACTTCATTTTCATTTGAGATCAATTGTTTATAATTGAAATGAATTTTTTTTTAATTGAAATGATTTTTGTTTAAACGAAATGAACAAGAGCTTATGAAATGAAATGACTTGTAAATAGTGCTTTGACTGAATATTTTTCTTCTCTTCTTCAGCGAAATTAATTGCAAATAGGATTTAATAGTTAGTTTTGTTATCAATAAAAGGTTTTCTGTTTTTATTATTGTCATTATTATTGTTATTATTATAAATTTTTAGTAAACCAAATCTTTTATTGATAACAAAGCTAACTATAAAATCCTATTTACAATTTTAAAATTTCACTTACAAACTATTCAGTCAAAGCATTATTTACAATTCCTTTCGATTAAAAAAAAGACACTTAATTTCGATGGAAAAAATTCATTCCATTAAAAATATATATATTCGGAAAAAAGCACAAATTATTATTATTGTTATTATTATTATTAAAAAAAAAAAAGACACTTAATTTCGATGGAAAAAATTAATTCCATTAAAAATATATATATTCGGAAAAAAGCACAAATTATTATTATTATTATTATTATTATTATTATTATTATTATTATTATTGGGCTAGTTTTTTGTCAGGGTTTAAGTTTCATTCAGCCTTTGACAATCTCACTCAGCCTTCAACATTGTTTTTCTTGGTCTGCCTCTTTTTTGTCTGCCTTAGTCACCCTGTCGCCTTCTTTGAAGTCCAAGATTATTACTGTACATAAAAATACATTGGTGTGAATTTTTTGCAGTTCAATACTTGACAAACGTCTACGGTTATCTCAACACGTGGCGTAAAAATCCCCAGTGGTCGTTTTCGTGCTGTCTTGCCCTTCTTCTGCCTCTCAATGAAATACAGGGCGACGTGCAAGGATTGAGTGGCAAAAGCCTCTTTCAACAACAGCTGCAAACTGGAAAAATGGACATGCCAACTATGTCCAGCGCTCTAAAAGACAGCGGAACTATTAATTTCAGCCTTGAAGGAGACGAAGAAAAGCAACGTGGAGAAAAGAATGAAAGCAAATTGAAGCCCTTTAAAGGGATAGAAAATGTGCAAGACGACATCGCCCTCACTGAAGTCACCATTCATGAAACGACAGCAGAGAAATACGATACAGCACTTTAAGTAGTATCCAATATCGACAGAGCCCTAAGGTTAGCTTTAGGACTAGTTTTGTAGATTCGTTCTTTTTGGTGCAAAACATTCTCAGTAAATCATTGCAGCGTATAATAATTCTGACATTTTCAGATTAGATCAGAGTTGTGCAAAGCGAAGAGAAAGCATAGATTGATTAGAACTTTGCATGTGAGACTGATGAAGTTTCTATTTAAAAGATTATCTACCATTTTGAGTAGTTTTGTCACTCTGAACACAGCAAATTTCGTGGCAAAATTAAAGAAATCTAAACTAGTATAAAAGTCTACAAATGGGCTTAGAAGCCGGTCGACGGCTCCAGATGATGGGCACCTTATGCATTTGAACACGTCAATTGTATTGCTCGTAGTCACAAAAGTCTTTTCAATAAAACTTGGTTAAAAATTTTACTGATGTAGATTGTACGATTCGCCATACTGTACCTAGTAGCCTGCGGGCAACTCGCCTGGGACTCCCGCGGGTACGGGGGTGGGGAAAGGGAAGAGGCAAAGGAGAGCTTCCACTCACGTCTCATAAATTTTATTAGAAAATCCAACTAGTGGTCTATTATCAATGCTGCGTTCTGATTGGTTGAGCTGCGACTAGGCTATATGTTATATCCCATTAGTAGCGAAAAGCGCGGGCTTTTTGGCGGTAAAAAAGGATTAAAGTCTAGCTTTAACTAGCTAAAAGTTTTTTTGTTCTCGATATTTTTGACCAACTAGTTGGATTTTACTAAAACAATTATTCCTCTCGCCCTCATGACCTCTGAATCAATAGATTGACTCAGAGCCCATTCGGGCTCGAGGAATAATTGTTAATAGTCCGTGGGCCAGAAAGTGAAACCCTCCCCCCAGGGGATTTTTACAGACGTGTATCATTTCAAAGCTTCACCCAAGAATATTTGAAAAATGCATGTTTGCACTTGATTGGTTGGTGGGTGTGGCTGTGCAGCAACATTCTTTTCCTCAGCAAAGAGTCAAAGGTTACCCACACCAATAGGTGAGTTAACCTCTTCTGAAACACCATTGCCAACAAAAATAACACTTGAGCCACGTTTTTTAAATCTCATATGTATCTGCGTCCCAGAATGGGATGCGAAATTGGCTGATTGGCTGATTTGTAATCAGGCGATCACGTTATGTTCCCCCAGGAGAGCTTGCTTGCAGGTTAACAGGCCAGACACCTTTATTGGCGTGGAACCTTCGAAAATCTTTTACATATTGCTCTAACGAGAAGATCTCTTTCAGAAAGCTTTGACGCTTTTAAAATTACGCTATAGGTGAATTATTTACTAGTTACCTTAAATTTAGTTAACTTCTTTGCAGTAGACAGAAGAAGTCTCGCGGTACAGTTTATATAGTGTAGCGGAGGGAAGATATGTGAAATTTTAGCATCTTACGCAACAGACAAATTCATTTCGATGTATTCCTGTCAATTTGTTATCCGTTTTAATAGCAGGGGAGAGACACAATACTCTGAGTTCATTAAAGCTTTCAAAATATCTTGTTGTCTCAATGTCGAGGATTGAAGCGGGTGTTAGCGGTGGTTAATTGCCACTTTTTAAAAGTTCTTTTGTTGACCTGGCACTATCAACCACCTGCCTATGAAAACGAGACCTCGACAATTTTCTGGTTCATCTTTTTGCAGCAGCCGTACTTTCAGGGCTTCGTTGGCTCGTGGGAAAATTATCTTTCACGCGCTGTTTCTATGTTGGTTTACATTTGACGCTCTTTTCCGCTCCGCGCCGATTGCCCAAAACTGACAGCTCTGTCGACGGCACTGGAGGCGGAATTCAAATTCATGAGAGGTGACTGCAAGCTCTCTCTCCTTTTTCTCCCCGCCTCCAGAGCGCCCCGGAAGAGCTTGCTCGCTATATTATCAGAGCTTGCAGCCCCTATAAATCACCAGAAATGGCGCTGTGGAAAGGATCGAAGCAGAAGAAGTTAGTAGATGAAAAAGGCAGCGTTTGTAGCGTCCGGCTCAGTGTATAGATTTTGACACTTTTTTGTAGTACTGAATAAACTCTAATATTAAAGCGTGAGACTATGAATTTTAGCGAATACTTGGTGACTAAGGGGACATTAGCACCGTGTTCCCTTTCAAAAATGTAATTAATCTTACGGTTTGGAGATATGTCACGGATGGAATTGTGGCTAAGAAAGAAAAATGGACGAGTTCACCGATGTTAGACATGTTTAAAGTTGAAATATTTAGGTGGTTGGCCCCAATTTAAAAATGGGGCGCTATTCCAATTACACGTTGTGTTCATGGATATACCGATTTGAAATCAGCTCCAACCTCAAAATTAGACACAAACGATCGATTGCTTGCCTTGGTCATATTCATATTGAATAATTCTGTTGCATAGCCCTGAATCTTAGAAAGGCTTTTTGAGTATTTATCTTTTTCAATTGCCCCATTTTTTATCTTTGATAACGTGACAGTGAAAACAGAGAATTGTTTGTTAAGTCGCGTGGTTGTCGTTGTTATTAAGAATCATAATGCATTATACTTCTATGTTTACTTTTTTAACGCTCATAGCACTATACATGGCGATCAGTACGATAATCCGTTCGTGTGAAAGTCTTCGGTGGACCATATGGCAAAGTTATAAGGACAAGCTGTGATCACACAGAAAACAACATTAATTCTTAATCAACTAAGCCTAAAAGTTTCATTAAAACACTTTGTCCTGGTAATAAGAAGATTGTTTTGACACCTTGTAATATATACTAACAGCAAAACAATAATGTATTACAAAAAATACTGTTGAAATCATGTATTTTTCATCACTTATTGTTCATAAATGAAAACTGAAAAGTCATGGGGTTGTGACATTTCAAAGAACTTTAAGAATCACATTTTCTTTTGATGTTTTCTACACAATACCTACATCTGTAGTTTGTCTTTTGGAAAATGTTTAGGGTCGGTATGTCCTTTCAGGACAGGCTCACAGAAGAAATATTTCCGTAGTTCACTAACTTTCAAGAGAATAAGCCGAGAAGGATTCCCTCCACATTAACAACCTCTAACTTATATATGATATAACTCTGTTACGAAAAGGAGAACTGAAGTAATCCCGTAAGTATGTGTAGATTTTGTATACCATACTCTCTTATTAGTATCCACTTACAGTGGTGATTCAGTATTACAAGTGTGTCTGGTAGGTCTCAAATGCACCTAAAGACGGTTTCCTCCTAAATCCATTGAAAACACTTTTAAGGTCAGTCCACAGAGTACTTTTAGATCTCTAGAAATTCATTCTACTGAGCGGCGCTATAAAATTTTTATCAGTCTGCCTTCCGTCCTAGGGTTCGAAATTACAAGCGTTCAGTATTATTTCCCCGAAATTTTTGGACGCATTTTAAAGTATTACGAAAGTAACACTTTTTTGGATTCCTCTCCCTGTCGCATTTTCGAGGACGAAAATTGTTGGTTTTCTTTTTCTACGAAAAATAACTTACCCTGTAAGGGGAGTGAAATGCGAAAAATTAAACTTTAGAAGATCGTAGGGAATTTGTTAGATAAGCTTCGAAACTTGTACACAAATGGAACAGTTATCTAGACATTTTTAGCCTTCCTCAAGCTATACAAAATTTCTAGGCAATTTTTGTTTCTCAGAACAGATATTTTACAGAAAACAGTCGTTGGGTGCCCCTGACGTATTGCATCCGCTCAGTGGAGAGAATAAAGACATTAAGAAAATTACTGAACGCAAGCAAAAGTATTTCGAGTTTTTCGCAGGTATCTTAACCCTATTCAGACTGGGGGGGACTTTTCGAACCCCCCCTCCGGCAAAATCATGATAACTCCTACACCGAAAGAGCTATGGCGTTCAAATTTTCTGAATTTTCCTAAAATTTATCTAGGAACATTTTGGTATAATTACCATGTCGATGTGATTAATCATGTTGCCATGGCAACCAGTTTCTGACACATAGGTTTTGGAAAATTTAAAAAATGGTGATTTTTTTTGTTTTAAGATCGCGTTTTTACACTTATAGTGCTTTTTGTTGTTAAAATGGTCTTTGCCTGGGACTAGTTTTTGAATTACATCAAAATGTTTCAACATCGAATATTTCGGGGGGAGGGGTGGGGTAAAATTTGTCACTTTTTTGCTTTGACAAATATGCTGCTCTATTTTCCAAATAACACTTCCAAAGTCATTTGTTTGGGTAATAAACACTAGTTTGATACTTCTTTTATACATTCTGAGCTTTTTCCCCTTTGAAAGTTGCTTTAAATTATAATTTTAACAAAAAAAACGGAAATCCAAGATGGCGGATCCAAGATGGCGGACAACCATTTCAAATTTTAAATTTTATTGCTTCCTATTGCTTTTTCTCGCTGTACAAGTGTTTCCTTGTTACTAGTTCATAAGAAAGGATAACAAAGAGATGACTTTACCAATATTATTGATATTTTACGTATCTAAATGGAAGTCTGAATAGGGTTAAGGTCGTCTTAATACAGTAATGCTATTAAAAACTGTTTTGAAATGCCGTATTGTAAATACTACGTAATTCAGTAATTTACCCTTTTTACCAATTTTAAGATCGACTGTACTTCCCCGGTACTTCGGGTTACTGTTTTTATATTTTAGTTACCTGTTTTCATTAGATCGAGAAACTTTTATCCAAGAAAGTAATAGATACATTCTCTATACCTAAGATTTAGGCAAAAAAAGTGTTAGCAAAAAATTTCATGATCGGTAAAGTACTCAGTAAAAAGGATCTTTAACACGTCAAGATTCAGGACCTAGAATCCCCGAAGTATTTGAGGAATGAAGAGAGACGGCTTAGGTAACAAACGTTTAAAAAGGAAGAAAAATTCTGAAAGGGAATTTGGCACCTTTAAAGTGCGACAAATTCACTAGTAATTTTTTCTTTTTTCTTAACTCATACTTGTTATCTTCAAACAAGTTTTGAAAATAGTTACTGTGTCATTTTAGCCAAATGAGACAATGTGGAGCATAAAAGGACTCGCTATACTGCTTACATATCACACTCTGAAGACAATAAATGCTCCTGGAGAATTCAGCCCCGAGGAGAGATCCCAAAGGGGAGTAGCGCTGCTGAACCACACATACAGCAAGTTATACTCCCATAACTATCCAGGCTGCCTCATGGCATGCATGGAAGACCCACGTTGCATGAGTCTAAATTACTGGTGGTACACGAGTCAATGCGATCTGAACAGCAAGACCAAGCATTCAGCAGAGTCAAAGTTCTTATGCCGAGATACTTCATCCACGTACATGGGACTGATGAGAGAACCAGGTATGGTGAGTATGCTAAGCACACCGGGCCTGCACACGAATTGTGGTAGACTCGCCCGAAAGTTGATTTTCCCGATGGCGTTTCGCCCGGTAAAGTCGATTCGCCCGATGATTAACAAGTTTCTACACCACGGTGAACATATAGGAGATTTTTCGTTATAGATAAGCATGTACTGTCAATTTGTTTCCACCCCTTATTCCTTTAAAGAACGACAAAAACACATCAACGAGGTCGCGACGAACTGGCGTCGGTCGAATCGACCTTCGGGCAAAACGACCTGCTACCCTCACTGTAATTTTCAGGGAGTTATAATAACTCCTCTAGTGGGGCTAATTTAACTCCTTACAGTGGAGTTATTTTTCGTGGAGTTATTTTAACTCCAAAAAGGAGTTTAAAGAACTCTTTTTCAGGAGTAAAAGTGACCACAGATTTTGAGGAGTTAAAATAACCCCAAAAAAGGAGTTATCCTGTACCTAAAATTTTTACTCCACTTTCAGAGTTAAATTAACTCCAAAAAGAGTGAAAACAACCCCTGTAAGGAGTACAAGTAACCCCATTTCGGAGTAATTTTAACTCCAAGACTGGGAGTAAAAAGAACTCTTTTTCAGGAGTAAAAATGACCCCAAATTCGGAGTTAAATTAGGAGTTAAAATAACCCCAAAAAAGGGGTTATCCTGTACCTAAAATTTTTACTCCATTTTTGGAGTTATAATAACTCCCTAAAAATTACGGTGCTGCATACGTGAAAGTACATTGGTTTATTCTTTTATTTGAAGGAGCTGGCTGGGTAAAACAACAGACAAACAAAAGTTACCACACATCACTTGTAGTGTTAGCAAGACAGAGAACTGATATATACTTCTTTTAATTAATGCTTACTTTTCATTCACCTTTGATTACGCTGGATAATAGGACGAGATCGGTCTTTTGTTAATTATCTGTGCAGGTACTTCAAGAACCTCACCGCGCATAATGCGTGGACATCATTTATTATTCAGAAACAGCAAGGTGGCAAATTTTAATTTGAGTTAAGAAAAGCTTAATATATAACAGGCCCAAATTGGTCAAGTAGCGCCGATGAAACTTACTTTCCTGCTTTCGCGCGGCTGTTTTAAGAAGGATTTTGTTCCTGCAACTTAAGTCTCAAACGAAGAGAAAGATTAAAGTCCAGTAAGGAGTATCGCTTTTTTAATTGAAAGTAAATCAAAAACGAATGAATGAAGAAAAAATAGGTCTCTCGAACAACAAATTGATGACAAGCAGTCCTTGAAGCAAAAGCCTTTTTTTTTTCTTTATCTACGATAAGGAAAAAGCACGATCTCTACCGTGGATCCTGTCTAATGAAAAAAATTGGGTTTGTTTGCCACAAGCATAGATTTTTGTAGACAAAAGAAAAATGAAATTAATTTTCTTCAGAACATTTAAAGGATTGAACGTAGTCGTATATCCTTGCAATGACACTAGAATACGCTAGATATCAACGAATCACAGAGGTCATATATTGCACTTTAGGTGAAGTAAACTAACTGAACAATCGTCATATTCACACTTGCCCAGGCTAACTAGGATAGTAATTCGCACAAACTTCTTATGCTCTGGGTTGAAAAGCAAATAGAAAGAGAACACTCTACACAAGACGGCAGGTCAGCTCAAATCTGTGCATTACTTATACAAGAAAAATAACGTGGGATTGTACAATTAACTCAAACTTACTACAGGCTTCTTATAAATGATTGTGAGGCTGAATCCACATGCAAATATAGCATTGCATCTTGAATTAAACTAAATATTTTAGAGCTGATTCATAAGCTACAATTTATAAATTAAAATCGAAAGGGTTGATCCATTTTATTGTTCTTGATGTTAATAATCCCTTTGCAGTAAGAAAGTGACTTCAAGGCACAATTTGCAATTCCATATTCTGCATTTCAGGAATAAAAAGGCCTATGTACCGTTCCTGCAGACATGTGCATACGTCACAAGGTGACGGAGAATACTCTATTGATCCAACGATGTCAGGCAATCCATTCACGGTTTACTGTGATATGACTACGGATGGAGGTAATTTAAAAAGATTGAACCGTGACTACTTTCACGTTATAAAGTAGCAGGTGTTTTTTTCGGCTCTTTTTTTTTAACTTTCAAAATCTGGACTTTCGTGCTTTGCTCATAGCAATGACACACAGCTCCAGTTGCAGAGCTTTACTAGCGTAACGTAAAGCCAATATTTTATACAAGATGAACCGCCCCTTTTTCATCTGCTTTACTCGTAAAAACTGCAAAACAGCTTCCAAAACAATAATACCTTCCAAGCCAACTGATTATTATTCAATTAATTAAAAGCACTTCGACTAGAATATGAAATAACGACTATGCCGTTCTCCTTGTTCCTTTTTCCAACTCTTCATATCATACCAGAGAAAAAAAATTACTGAATGCAAACGAGATTAAAACGAGAATAATACAAAAAAAATCTAAACGAGGAGTCGTGTTTTTTACTCGTTCATGGCTCGTGGCTAAAAGATGCTGTCAGAAATGACCAGTATTTGCACTTATTTCGTTCTTTGTTGTCGCACATACATTAATTTTTCCGTCGTTTTATAAACTCGTCATTTTGCTCGCGGACTTACTTATTGTTCTCTTTAGAGCGACGGTCCCCTAAGTAAACAGCCGGTAATCAAAGTACCGACTGTAGGAAAAAATTGTAATTTCAACCTCTATTAAGCGGCCAGCCTCTATCAAGCGGCTGCAACCACCTTTTGGCCATCACAACAAGGGTTATCCTATTGCTGTCACCTTTATTAAGCGGCCACCAATTCAAGAAGAATTAGTTTGGCTTTACTATTTAAAAATATGATAGAGGAAAATGCAGTCTGAGATGGAAGCTAGGTGTAGACTGATTGTTGACCAGCCAAGAATGCCACTTCCGTCGCGTGTTTGTTTAAAATTCGTTAAAAGAGGTTTTCTGCTAACAATTATACTAATTTATGAGGAACTTCCATAAGGCTGCCGGGCACTTGCCGGTACCTCGAAGGTAGCCGCTTAAGGGAGGTTTAACTGTATTGTCTCCTTAACTGTTGTATACTGTATGCTTTAGGTGGTTGGACTGCCATTCAAATGGTCTCATTTACACAATCCAAGCTCCACTTTGAAACCGAGATCCTAACAGCTCAATCTTACACTGATCTTTCCCGCTTTTCTGATCACCGCCAAAAAGTTTTACCCAGTGTCCTTCTGAAGCTGCGAAAGGACATGGGTTTTAAACAGATTAGATTTCACTGCCACAAGAAGAAAGCTGGGACAGTTTTTCACATCATGACCAATATCAATCAGCTGGGCGAGGCTGTTGTGAGGTATTTCACTTTTGCCAGCCCCTTAACGCCACGACCCGAGGCTTGTGGCTCGTATTCAGTCCTTCCGGATGATAACTCTACTCTCTCTGAAGACTGCAGCAATTGGAGTGGAACCCGTGCTCAAGTCGATGGCAAATGGGGCGTTCAAGGTGCTTCTGACGACGATTTTCCGATTTTGGAAGCAATAAACCGATATGGTGAAAAAAAGAAGGATGATCATTTGTTTTATGCAAAACCCCAAAGACGACAGTGTGATGATGGTGATATTGATGAGAGTTCGCTTTCTCCAGGAGATTTTTGGTCCATATTTGTTCGTTGAGACATATTTAGTAAGGGAGAGCGGACAAACATCAGAACTTCAAAGATAAAAACAACGTTGCTGCAGTTTATGTTGGAAGTTCCCTGACGGTGCACAATCCATTGTTTTCTCTTCACAAATTGTGACTGAATGAACTGAGGAGACGTTTTTATTTGTTAGTAAGATGAAAAAGATAGGAATGCCTTTAAACGTTGTGTACCGTCAGGTCCACAAAATCATACAGCAAGGGAGTCGGCTTCATAGCCATTCCACTCTTTTAACCATGGTTGAGAGTATCTAGAAAACAATACAGGGGTGTTTTAATAATCTAGCGTAATTACCGTAAAATTCCGAAAATCAGCTCCTCCATGTATAAGCCCCTCCAAATATAGGCCCCTCGAAATCGTAACGGAAAAAACCCTCCGTTAAATCGCCCCTCCGAATATAAGCCCCCCCCCGGGGGGGGCTTGTACTTAGAATTTGCCCTCGAATACAAAGTCAAACAAAACAAAAATGGTAAATTTCCTTTCCACTACAATCTAGCCCAACCGACTTTATAACGCAAATTTCCCTCCGTTCATAAGCCCCTCCGAATATAGGCCCCTCCAAAAATAAGCCCCTCAAAAAGGGCCCTTGAAAAATATAAGCCCGGGGGCTTATTTTCGGAATTTTACGGTATTCTGTTTGTAGCCTGCGTGGCAGGCGTTTGAAAGGGAAGAGAAAGGGGGTTTGAGGCGCGAGGAGGAAGGGAAGGAGGGAAACGCCTGCCAGGAAACCATTGTTTTCGCCATCCCGCCTACTAATTATGTATGCAAAAATAACGCAACTGTGAATGACTAGCTGTCAATTGAGTCTGGCCGCGATGCGCTTATTTAAGTCGTATTTCGCGTACTGTTTTTCTTTTGTTTTCCTAAAACAAGAAATCTGAAGTGAAGGTACTATTAAAAAAAGTGTAAATGCGGTCGTCCGTTGAAAGAAGAAAGTCGCAACCATGCGTGGCTTGTTATATAAAATCCAGCATAAATCTATTACGTTTTTGCTGAAGGTATCGCGTTGGACTTCCCAACTTGCATGCAGTTTTTGTGGGAGAAATTAATTACAAACACTTTGCTGACTCTCGAACTGGATCCAGCGCAGCATACAAAAGAACGCTGGTAGCAGGGAAAGAAGAGCGGAAGTTCAAAGATCTACAATAAGGCTAATTCTGCAATCAATATTATTATTGAAGTACGGTAAGTTCCTAGCGGCTTTATAACGTCTATAACCAGTAAGAAGAAGTCCTCAAACCAAAAATCGCTAAGGATTATAGATCGCTTCGTCTTCAACAATCTGGTCGTTGATAAGCGTAACCTGCGTGATAGGCGTTTAAGGTCAAACAGCAGATAACAAGCACACGGGCAGTATGATTTTTCCTTTCTCTCTTCTAGTGAGTAAAACAAGCCGTTAGGAGACAAGACTTCTCAAAACCAGTAAGCAAAACTCATCTAGCTGACAGGTCTTTTCCTTCATACGAGTCTATTCTATTCTCCTTTCAAGCTGAAATAGATACCTTCAGTTTCTAATCGTTCTAAAACGATGAATTCCATACACAAATCTCACCAGGCCTCACTAACAACATATTTTTAAAAGATTACTGGAAGATCGATTAAGTTACTCAGTAGCGTGATGTTGATTTCAGCCAATCGGATTAAGGTATTACGGCTGTGATTGACATGTTTTGAAGACGGACCAATCAGGATTTTAACATTCGCCTGGTGGATGTTAAAAACGAGAAAAACAATGGTCTCCTGACAGGCGTTTCCTTCCCCCCCCCTCTTCGCGCACCCCTCGCGTTTCTCTCGCACCTAAAACTCCCTTTCCCTTCCTTTTCAAACGCCTGCCACGCAGGCTATTCTGTTTGCAGTACATGGATCTTTGTGACAACAAGTTTTTAAACTTCTAGCCCATTAGAACATTTTACCGATACGGTGGTCCTGTTGAAAAAAGTTTGTTGGGAAACTTTTCCCATTAAAAAAAACCGGCAATGTTTGTGTCACATTTATTTGGGTGTAGTAATCTGACCGATTGACGGCGGTTTCCTGTAACAGGACTCAGATTTACTCAGAGCTTAATTTCAAGAGACCGAATTAAAAACTGCCTTTTTCTAATAAGACTCCTGCTTCAAACCAATTTTTCGAGATTTCGCCAACAAATGAACGAGGTTTAAGGAAAAACACCATCCATTCCATCCATCTATTTTAAAATATTTAAAAAGTTATTAACCAATGTGGCCGCCGAATCCGTAAAAAGTACACTGCTGCAATACAAAGTAAACAATTGGCATATTTTAAATCAGGTGTTAATGAAGAAGGGCGAGGATGATATTGTTATGAAGTAGTCTTGTGGTTATTTTTGACATTATTATCATAAGGATTTTTGATGACAGTTCTGTTTGTTCTTTTTTCTTCTCGTGATTTAAGTTTCGTTATGTTTGGGTTTGAGAATCAAGGTTAACCGATATATGCGTTAACAGGTTTTTGAGTGTTATTACCTTTTTAATGGGTTTGTCGACAGAAGTGTCATCAAGCTTGGGGTTTAATTGAGTTTGATTGTCAGTTTTTAAGTGGGTACGTTTTGGGACCATTGCTGACCTTGCTTATTACCTACATCAGAGTTCCTGTTTTGGTTTGAAGTATGGCCTCGTGGAGTTAGCTGTCGAGCTTTCATTGGTTTTCTTGTAGGATTATTTATTCCACTTTTGTTAACAACGGGAAATTCGTTAGATGTCATTCGGAATAGCGTTCGTAACTCTCATGATCAGCAAGCCTAAACGTACCGGCGTTATGCTTATATAAGTTGTATAGTTGGATGGTTAGTAGAGTGTGATTAGCTGTTGTAAGAAGCTGAGCTGTAGACGTTTGTGTTGCCGCCAGTAATTAAAGGAAGAAAGTATCAAAGCCTTGTCAGAGTCCTGGAGTACTCTCGCTAGAGGAGCTGTCCCCGTCGAAGAAACCCCTAACAATATCCTAACTGTTCGGCCAGGAAACGAAGATAGAATTTAGTATGAAGTCCCCGACAAGATTGCAACGACCAGCGGCCGTTCCGTAAGGCCGGTTTTCAATAACGACGGAGTCAGCGTCGGACTTGTAATCAGAAGCGTATAACGTAACGATCTAGTGAAAGCAGCGTTCTGATTCCGCCTTACGCGACTCCGTCGTTTGCGATAAAGTGAAAACTTTAAGGCTGCCGGAGCTCAAGTCGCAATCAGAAGCAGAAGAACTAAACCAATCACAAAGCGTTGGAACGTGCATTGTGTCTGGTTTATCCTTCTGCTTTTGCTTTCGACTCCGCAATCTATATAACAAAACGAACGCTGTTATACTTTGTTGGTTATTTATCTTCTTTAGCCGTACCAAATAAAACTCTCTTAAAATTAGGAGTGTAATTATTAAGAATAACTTTCCCACGAGCGTCCCTATTTCTCATTGGAGTCCCTTCGGGAACAGAATGCATCAACCGTCCAAATCTTACTTGGAATCGGTCAAAGCCAGTTGATTAAGCAAGTGAACTTGAATAAATTAAATGGAATGATGCTAGCAATAGATAATGGCGTCCAGCAAGAGAAAAAAGTAACGTTAGGCAGCACTGAAAGAGGGGCATAGCCCCTTTTCAGGGTCCATTAGCTCATAAGGTGAATTGGTTAAAATTTAGTTTTTAAAAAGACGGTGTCTCATTTTAAATGGCCCCTCTGCCTCTCAGGTAGGAAATAGGTATGATAAATCTATAGTAAAATTTCCGTTTTCAGCAGTAAAATGCAAGATTCATGAAAAAATTGACAGATTAAATCAATAAATGTGTCCATCAGGCTCAGCAGATCGATCTTATTTTAACTCATAAACCGTCAAACTAGACAGTGTATATTACTATTCATTTAACTTTGCTTTATTTTTTTTATTTTCATTTATTTTTGACATGGGGGGGGGTCATAGTGACCTTACAAGTTAGTTAAGGCTGATCCAGGTTGCCCAGGTTCTTTGGTTCGAACATTCTTAACAGAGCGTAGGAGAAAAGATTTCATCTCTCAGGAATGTTATTTATCGGGCGTGAAACGATTACTACATCGTGTTCACTGAACTGAATAGAGAACGCACTGCTACGCTTGAGCGAATGGCCTGAGAAACCAGAGGGAGCCAATATTAACATGGACCCAAATGCACGGAAAATAAGTTGACACCTTCACATTTCACACTTTCAGATCTTTGCGTCAATTTTTTTTTTCTCATTACTGTAACGTAGAAGATTTATCATAAGTTGAAATAAAAAAATATTTTTGCAAACGAGATTAAAATCTTAGTTTCAGTGAACTTGATATCTCTAAAACATTTTTTAACACTGGCTCGTTTTTTTCTTCTTCTCTTTCTTCTTCCTCTTCTTGCGGAATGGCGGTGTGCAAATGTTACGTTTTATTTTGTTTTATTGAAAGGCAATAATTTTGAGGTAAAAAAACGTCTTAAGGAGCTTACGCCAATTGTTTGCAGATTTTCCTTATACCATTTTCTTTCAATTTTACTGTTGTTTGTGCAAGCATCATTGACAATCAATCGAAGCGTTTAAAACATAACACATTTCATTGAGCTTGGTCATTTCTGTTCAAGGAATTTAACGTAAAGTCAATTAAGCTTACTCAGCCATGTATTTCCTGAATATTTGATTTCCAGGGCAATCGTTGGCTGGCTTCGCAAAAATTATGTTTCCCTTTCATGGTTTAAGTTCCTTAACGAACCGTAAACGCTGGTGAAAATAATGGTTTAGCTTGGACGAGATAACATGTGAAAAGGTATGTGTTAAAATGACACCCTAAAACAATTTTTCTGTACCGAGTTTTCAGTTTAGTTAGCAGAGAAGAATTCAAATCGAATGAATCTAGCCCATATGTATTCTTTCACAACTGAGAATATAAGAATTGTTTTTTCCTGTACCAAAATTAAACATACTGTATGACTCTCACTGGAAATGAACTGAGAAGGTTAAACTCTATGAGGTTGGTCGGGAACCCACAGAACTTATACCTGTGTAAATATTAGTAGTTGCTCGATGGCCGGTACCCAATCAGATGTAGATACATAATACCACAAGAAGACCTCTACAGGATACTAAAAACAACAGCTAAATTATGACATGTGTCCTAAACGGACTATAATTTTGAACACTTTTATATTTACGTGTCTGAGATGATTTTATATTTTAGGTCCCTGCAGGGGATCTTGGAGGCTTTGTTTTATGCAAAACGAGCACCGGCTCGTCATGTGTGATGTTTAAAATGTCTCATTTAGTAGTCAGTATTCCACCATCTTGCAATACGTTAAATCCTCACTTTTGCGTTGTTGCTTTAATTTGTATTACTCTTACTAGCTATTACGGTCCATGCAGGCCTTCGCTTGTTACATCTCGTAACGGTCTTGTGTTATAGCAACACCTGCGCTTTAAGCCTCATCAAGTCGGAAGTGATACCATAGCAAAACCTTAGGCCACTGGCACACAAACACCTAGCTCTGATCATTTTGTTTCTAGCAGGTTCTAACTTATACTTAATATGGCAATAAAACACCACATGATGAGATATGAAGGAGCTTTCTCTTCAAAACACTACTCTCTTCAATGTTCCTTTCTGAAAAGCTGGTACCAGTGATTCGGATCATTACATTTTGATGCTCAGTTGTTAATAGCAACTAGTTGTTTTATTTCTTTCCTTTCTTTCAGATATACGCAACTTTTCCTTTATTCCTTTTTTCCTTTTTCCCTTTTTTCCCTTTATTCACGATAATTAAAGATGAAACAACAACAACATGATATATTAATTTGAGGAGGACTCGGAAAAAAATCCGAGTCCCACCTGGGACTCGGATTTTTTTCCGAGTCCTCCTCAAATTAATATATCATGTTGTATTCACGATAAGCTTGTAATATTTGTTTGAACAGAGATCAGTAATCTCTTCAGCATGTCCAAACTCCTGCAAACGTACGGTTGGCGGGAACTTAACACTAAACAAAAGCATTGAAGAGTCTCCTTCCCATCTCTATCTTTACTCTTAGCTCTTGAACTAAAGCGGTTGCGTCTATGACTGCGATGATCTACTTTTATATAATTCTTCTCCGCGCAGTTCACATCATATGATTTTCATATATTCAGAACTTCGTCATCATCCTTTCACGGGTTTATAACGAACCAATTCAACGATCTGCCCCCAGTTAGCATGTTAGCTTAATTGTTAGCTTATATTAATTGGTAAGCTTAATTCCTCGAGCCCGAATCGAATGTGCTCTGAGTCAATAGCCCATTCGGCCTTCGGCCTCATGGGCTATTGACTCAGAGGCCATGAGGGCGGGGGGGATAAAATCCAGCTGGTTGGTCAAAAATATCGAGGATAAAAAAGAAAATTGCTAGTTAAAGCTGGACTTTGATTAATCCTTTTTTGCCGCCAAAAAGCCCGTGCTTTTCCCTTCTAGTGGGCTAAAACATATAGCTTAGTAGTCGCTCAACCAATCAGAACACAGCATTGATAATAGACCACTAGCTGGATTTTACTAATACCGAATAGCCTTTCGTGCCGACACGTAAAACTGTCCGGTATAATTTGAACACCTATCCGATATGCGACTCTCCCCTTTTAAAGATCGGCTCGGAGCAGCTTTGCTCCGTTACTGAAATCGCGCCGAAATCACAGTTCTTGTGTGTGAACAGAAGCCCGAACCAGTGCATTTTTTTGTGCCTGAGCAAAAGCTGTTCGGTATAGTGTGAACATAGCCTAAACTAAGTAAAAAGTTTGTATCCAAATGAATGTTCTTGGATTTTCTGATACTCGTTAACGCCCTGCGAAGCCGAATTTCCTAAATGTAATAAATCTGGAACATAATGAATTTGAGAAAAATGTCCTCTCTTATAACCTAGCCTAAGCATGGTGGCGGGTTGTGTATTTGTCTTTTAAAAAAAGCTGATCTTTCTCTTTTTGCAGCACTTTTTATCACGAAAAACAAAGCTCCTTATGAATTTTAATAAAAGCCGGCAAATGACAGCTACCAAGAGAAGTTTTTATAGGGGCTCTTACTTATCGCACCTGCCACGCCCTCAAGCTTAGCATGAGTGAAAGTGTCAAAGTGATTGTTCGTTGTAGACCCCTGAATGAAAAAGAACGAGAAATGAACACGAGACTTGTGATAGAAACTAACTCCTTATTGCATCAGTGCAGCATCCAAAGGTCTGGAGATGATACCAAATCAGCCAAGAACTTTACATTTGATGGAGTTTACGGCATTTCAAGTAGCACAGAGGTGATTTATTCTGAAATTGTACGTCCAATTGTTAACGGCGTCGTTGAAGGATACAATGGTACTGTGTTTGCATACGGGCAGACATCGTGCGGGAAGACATTTACAATGGACGGTATTCAAACCCCTTCGGCACAAAAGGGAATCATCCCTCGATGTTGTGAACACATTTTGAGCAGTACACGCCAGCGCAGTCTGGAAAAACATAATAATTATCTACTTCGCGTGTCATACCTGGAAATATACAATGAAGAAATCCGAGATCTGCTAGTCAAGGAGTATAAGTACAAGCCTGAAATTAAGGAACGCCCAGACAAAGGAATTTACGTCAAGGGTTTATCAAGCATAACTGTTGATAGCTACGAGGATATAAGGGAGATCTTAAAATCAGGGCGTAAGAATCGGTCAGTAGGTTCAACTTTCATGAATGCTGATTCATCTCGGTCTCATTCGATCTTTACCATCGACCTCGAGGCCTGCCTTTGTTCTGGTCCAGGCAAAAAGGAGGTCTATCGCACAGGCAAGCTCAACCTGGTAGATCTGGCTGGAAGTGAGCGTCAGAGTAAAACTGGTTGTACTGGCGAACGGTTTAAAGAATCGACGAAAATCAATTTGTCATTATCGGTTCTCGGGAATGTCATATCGTCCTTGGTCGACTGCAGATGTACACATATTCCTTATCGTGACTCAAAACTAACGAGGCTTCTGCAAGACTCGTTAGGTGGAAACTCAAAGACTTTGATGATTGCCTGCATAAGTCCTGGGGAGAATAATTATGAAGAGACCTTGAGCACTCTGAGATATGCTGCCCGTGCAAATAGTATTAAGAACAAGCCAAAGATAAATGAGGACCCAAAAGATACGATTTTAAAGAAGTATCATGAGGAGATACTACAGCTGAAAAGGATCATTGCGAAGGAAATTCCTGTCCCCAGCCAGTTGGTTGCTGAGTTGAGAGGTAAGCCTATCAAGATCAGCAGTTTGATGATAGATAGCTTGAGAATCTTTCCCAGCAGTTTTTGCCATAAGCTGAACTGTCTCATGGCAATTATCAAAAATAACTTCTTGAAGGGAGCCAAAACAATATACTTGTTAAACGTTTTTCTCTCGTTGTTCTGGTCACTCTATATGAACAGGAAAAAGTTTTCAGCTCAAGGGGAAAAAAACTGTCATGAAAAACTTTCTTTATTTTATCTTATTTTAAATCAAAAATGAAATTGATTTAAAATCGTTTGGGACATTTCGTTATTTTATCTTATTTTTAAAAAACTAATTTATTTTTATTTATTCCTTTTTTTTCTTTTCAATTCGTACGTGGTTCTAAAATATAGAAATATTAAAAGATAGCAAAACTTGAGCTCAGTAGTGAACAAGTGAATGATTTTGCCCATCATATAAAGCACTGGGTTCTGTGGACAGCCCGCACACCTGGTACGTGTTTGGCCGGAATGTCATGGGCCCATTTCTGTCAAGAGTTTTTTGCTTGTCGCAACACTCGCAAAATAAGGATTATTTCACTTTTCTTACCACAACAGTTTCCTAATAAGGTCTTTGTGACTAAGGAGCAAAAAGTCCCATGCGTCTTTGCAGATCTAATAAGAACGAATTTGTTCTGAGCTCTGCACGGAGCCATGATCAACAACATTTGTTCTGTACTTAGAATTTTTATAGAGCTCTCAACTAGATCGTCTGGAATGCAGGTATCGAGGTGTTTCAAATTTTTATAGTATTAATTCATTAGTTTATATTATTTTACAGAAATCAGAGAAGAATCAAACGGCGCATCGCTAAACTACGGTCGTTCTTTGACGAAGACGTGCGAGAAGGAAGAAACAATTCAAACTTATTTTTCAAGAGAGATAAGTGTGAAGGGAATTGAGACGCGTCACATCGACTCTCAAAAACTTCACGTAAAAGCCTGCAAAGAGAAAGCTTCTCTGAAGAGAGAACTTGACGATATCCGGGCGCAGCTTAAAATGGAGCAGAGAAAACTTGAGTTTGAAGAAAGGAAAAATAAACTTGAGGAGCATAAAACCGCTTTAATGTTGCTAAGAGGGCGGAGGACAGTGGATGGAGGTTGCATGTTAGGCACGCGTAAAGAGGCTGACAACGATCATCAACGCTCATCAGAATTACGACAAGCTACGTATTCTGGAGATTTATCAACACAAGTGACATCAACAGAAATGAAACGTTTACCTGGTTATTCACCCTTGTGGGTAGAAAAACCATGCTTAGAATTTGAGAGAGCAGAAAAGGAAGCGACCTCAGTTTCGTCCCCAGCACGGGAAAGTCCCGTCATGGTTTCGGTGGCAACGTCGACCGATGATTTAGATGAACTGGTAATTAAGACAGATGTTGATTTCAAACATCAGAAACATGAACAAGAACGAGAAATGGAGGAAAACGACTGGAATATTCGAGAAAATATGTTATGTCGACAAGAAGCCGAGGGCTGTTCCAGAAGTGTGTCGCCTCACAGTGAGGAAAAGAAGAGCTTTCCAAACGGTCAGATTGTTTATTCCAGTTCACTAGATGAGGAGGTAAGACAAGGGCCGAGCGTTTAACCAACAATTTAGACATATTTAATTCATAACGCATGTCACGGATTGTTTTTACCCTTATACTTCATTGAAATTCATCTCAGTAGAAGATCGATGAGTGACATCTTTGTCATTCTAGCTTAGTACGCATTGATGGACGTACTACTTGACTGGTATAGTAATTAGGAAAGCAAACGCTGACTGGATATAATGACCCATTTATAATTATAATATATAGATTTAGCCTGGGCTAAAAGCGAAGCTCCTACTAACTCGAATTTATAATTTAAATCAAATTGTAAACTTGTATTCCACAAATCAGTTAACTTTAGAGGACATTCATGTGACTTTTGACGGAAAGGCTAAGTAATTTTAGAAAAAAATAATTTGCAAACAGTCCAAGCTAAGAGTGAAATTAATCTTACATCGACTTGATAGTCTTATATGTACACCTAAAAAATATAGCATAGCCATAATGGTTCTTGATCACAGTACATTAGGAAAACAAATCAGGCCGAATTTTTTGCGTTCGATAAGTTTATTTCACAAAATCTTGCCAACAAGTCTGGGGACCTGTAAACCAACCTTTTATACTTTTTATACATCACATCTGAGGTGAAATAGTACCATGAGTCGCTGTTTTTATCATACAGACCTCGGACAGAATGCAGTATTTCACAATTTTGCAATACAAATTGCACTCATTCAATATTCAGGACGATCGAAGCACGCGTTAGCGAAACCGTTAAAAATTTCCAAAATCACCTATACGGCGAGCCAGTTCTCACTTTTGACAAGCGCCAATGTCGACTGTTTAAATTAAGATTAACACAGTTATACGCTTCAACATAATGGCTTTATAACGATGTGTAATCTTCAAAAGCGTTTGATTTGGGCGGCATTTTGGCTACTCCTGCAATCTATGTTCGTGAGCGACTGAAAACAAACGACATAACAGCGACGAAAATTGCAAAAGAGACTACTAACAATCAATAAAAGAAAAAGCATTCGATGAAACATATACAGAGGGAACAATTTTCATTCACGAATACAAGTATTAAAGGGTCTCTGAAAATCGTTGTTTATGGTTTAAGCCGGCTTCCAGGTGTTTGCGTTTTTCAAAGATGAACTCGAGGCAAGAAAATCGCTCAAAGCTTTCTTTTACAGCCAGAATTATAACTAAATATTCTTTGGAACGTTTTATTTCTATTTGCGGTGAGAAAATGTCTGAAGGCTTTTTTATCAAACCTGATACTCGGTCAGAACATTGTCTCAAATCCAACAAACGTACATAAACTAAATAGCCCCATAAACTACACTCGACTTCATTGAATTAGATATGAAAAACAAACATCAAATAAAATAATTAGTCAGGCTTACCATTCGAGATGCACTGAAAACTGTCAAGTAAGGCCAAAATCGCTTCAGACTTTTCAACCCTCTTACGCATCAAGCAAGGTGAAAAACGAAAACGATGCCATCCGAAATCTTTGACAAGCGACGTATTTCTCAACCAAAAACCCGATAAACAAACTAGCCATGAATAACAGAAGACTCTTGATAGCAGCTGGATTTCATTTTGTACAATGTTCAGTGGGAAAAGAGAGTTAAAAACATCACAAGTTGACAAAAAAACTCTGTCAGCTTCAGCTGTCAAAGTAAACAAGTTTCAAGATGCTTCATAAATTTTCCGCATGAACTCACCAGTCAAATTTTGACCAATCAGAACATAAAAATTGGACGTAGAGCGTGACCAACGCGTGACCTTGGTGAGAAAAGTCAAAAACAATTGGCATGTCTTCCCTGCCTGTAAAAACTGGCTGAATCTTAGCTTGCGAGCTCAGTTTGAAATCAAAATTTTAATTGTGCGACACATATAAAACACAACGTATTTCATATGAATTGAAAAAATTAAACTTGAGCCTGCAACCATTTGAAAACTAGTAACTTGTCAGCGAATAACTTCAAAAAATACTCGACCTCGATGGGTCTACACCTGAGCCCGCGATACGGTCAGGTGATACTGGTCTGCGGGACCCTGTTTTGACAACTGTCAATTGATCACAACATTGATGTGCAATATGTGTGCAATATCAGTCTTCCTGTGCTCCCAAGCTAGCTAGAAAGTGTGGGATTGAACATTGGTTTCCCTGTGGTGCGCACGGACGGGCAGCGGGCGGGCTGGCGGTGTACGGTCACGTGATTACCAAATTTCCTGGGATGGGTAGATTTACTTACCCATGGTGCTCCGCAGGCGCGCTTCGCGCGCCAGAGCTCCGCTATCATTTTTGTCAGGTCATATGATAATACTCTAGAGAATTGTTTCTTTCAATTCACTTTCTAATTCACGTGCATATGTACGCATGATTCCTGAAAACACAGAGGGTCAGTTTTCCCTGGGACTCTGAATATTGGGAAATCAAAACATACAAGCTAAAGAGGTGTATTACGCTCTGACGTAACGACTGTCAGGGAGTAGGCTGTAATACAATTTCTTAAGGTACAATTTAGAGGCACCATTTGGCTACGGTAGCCCACGAATTCAATTATCGCGATACCTTTTTGTGGGGAAACTTTACACTATTTGAAGGCAAATTATCCAAAAATAAATAGATAACGAAATATCAGAGTCATTTGCCTTTGCTTTTATAGTTGAGTGTCATGAGTGGGCTCTGGGTGGATCGAGGGCGATTTCTTAAAGTGTTAACTGCTCACCATAACACGCCAAGAGAGGATAATGCTCTCTTAAACACATAAACTTGTTGCAAAGTCGAAAAAGACATCTCGGAGATCAGGCAATCTGTGGTTCGAGCTCTTGAATTGCAGTCTCGAAGAGTGACTCAAATCAACTAAGTTGTACTACCTGCACTTTACTGAAAGATGTTATACAATCACCCATTGTCAAAAAAATCAAGAATAATAAGGTGCCACAAGTCAACGGTCAAGTCTCTTCACAACTAGCACCTTGGGGGTAGAGGTGTGTGGCATTTTAGTGTCCGTCGGGTCGACTTAATATATGGTCTTAATATAGGGAACTTAATCAATGACGACGGCGACGGCAACGATAACGGCAAAAAGGCAATAGGTTTGGATTAGCTAAACAACAACTTTGCACGTGTAGCACACTTTTTTGTACATTTCTTTCTAGTCACTGGACTAATACGACGTAAAACTGCCTAATTTCATGTTCTATGGTGGCCTTGAAAACAAGACAACAACTTTCTTTTGTTTTCCTGAAATTCGATAAAGTCCTTTAGAGCTCAGTCGGCTCCAGAAAAAATTGCCAACATTTGACAAATTTAACGAGATGGAATAAGCGCGATAAAGTTTAAAGCAGCGCGATTCATCTCTCAAGTGACGTTTTCGTAGTCCTCGCCGTCGTTGTTTCTTAAACTCCCAAATATAGGTTGGACCGTAATTTTGACCAAAACGTCTTACACCACATGTTATTTATCAATCTTTTTGCTGTCTTTCAGGGTCCAGTGAATTTTGGTCTTTGCTGTCTCTGTCCTGAAAAGTCCTTTTTCGGCGAGAGAATTGAAGAGTTCTTAGGGCATAAGCAGAAACACTCTTAACATTCCTTAAGCTAGATTTTTGTTGTTGTTGTTTTTATAGTAAAAATATATAAAGCTTTGAAAATCAAAGTCTGAACGTGTAAGGATATAGCACATTGCTTTTATTTTTACCGTTTCATATAAAATAAAACATGAAGCAGCATTTTGATACATCGATCCTCGTCTGGAGACCTTCAATTGTACGAAACGAACTAACCACTAAAACTATATAAAGACATAGATCAAAAATATTTTAATAAATCATGCATAATTAATAAGAATGTCGTTGGTGGAGCGTTTTGTTATTGCTGTGTTTGTTTGTCTTTTTGTTTATTTGTTTGAACACAATTCTCTGACTAGCTGAACTCCTTACGCTAACGACAAAAAAGAAATTACTAGCATTTTAATGAAATAAATTTACAAGGCCACAGGGAGCAAAGGAGTTCTGTTTGACTTAGATAATAAAGAATCTCTTCCCTCTTTGATTGCTGTAATCTGCAGCTGTTAATTCTCCGTGTGTCAGTTAGCCGTGTGTGATCATTCTGGGTCGGTTAACCGTTGTAAGCAATTCCCTTCGAGCGTCCCTTTCGCTCAACATTTCTTTCCGACCATCATTATTTTAAAACTTAACAACCGCTGAATGAAGCGCACGTGTGTATTCCGTTGGCCTTCGGCGGAATGTCTTCGAAAAGAGGCACGAAGTGCCGAGAGAAAGAAAGAGACAAGGAATAAAACTTGAACCGATGTGGACCTCAGCAACTGGTGACGGAAGGAATCTTGAGAGCCCAAGAGCGCTTTATTCAGCTGTTGCCATGTTTGAATTAAATAATGGCGGTCGGAAAGACACGTTTAGCGAAATGGACGATCGAAGGGAATTGTTTACAACGGTTAACGACCCAAAATGATCACACACGGCTAACTAACGTTAAAACACGGAGAATTAACAGATTGCAGCAATCAAAGAGGTAAGAGATTCTTTACTATCTAATTCAAACTGAACTCCTCTGCTCCCTCTGCAAGGATAGACCAATTTCATTTTAAGGTTCCTTCTAATGTTATTCAAGATTGTCTTGTTTTGTTGGCTGTTATTGTAATAGGGATCTTACGATTTTACGTCGGTGACTTGTAATAATAGTGAAAAGGTTTGAAAGGGTGAGTTAGTGTATTTTTCAGCCTCGTTCACTATTGGTGTCGCTATCGTTGGATCATAAGATCCGTAACAGTTGCACACCAGTGGTGTTCATTCTACGTAGATCCACATTTTGGCGTAACAGTAAGAACCAAGGCAGGCGTAAGTTGACAGCAAATTTGTTAATGAACAAAACATGACCGCCAGTAGCTTTTCAAATCATAAATCAAAGGCATCTCGGTGGTCTATCTAAAATTTGGTGAATAGGTCGCAATTGTCAGATAATCTTCCAGTAAATCGTTAGCAGATCACGATATCTACTTTTCCCGCCTTTTTGGTCTTTCTCTTCCCGCTGTAAAATCCTCTCTTCTAACAATAAGCCACCATGTCCATAACGCGCGCGACTGACTTTAAATTAAGTGGCTTCTGCAATAGCAGAAAAAAAGAAATCATTAAGGCCTTGAGACCTAGCTGCCAACGAAGCGCAACGGATATACAACCTTGAGCAGTGGAGCCCCCCTTCCACATAAACACAAATCGACCCATTAGCCAAGTTATAACAAGGCTCAGGAAATCATACTAAGTCTTAAAAATTCGCCTTTGTTAATGCAAAAGTAGACTTCTAAAGTTCAAATACCAAGCAAACCGTTATATGATCGAAACATATTTGAACTTGTTGGAGAAATGGGCAAAATTTCAACCTATGCAACAGAAAAGCTCAAAATGGTATTTTATCTTGTTGATTTGGTGATCGGTGCGAGAGACGGGGAAAAATTGTGCAGTATTTCAGGAGACTCCCAGATAATCTGTGAGAGTCAAATTAAAACGATAATAGCGCACTATTAAATTTATCTTGCAAAAAAAATAAGGATAGAAACTATCGGTTAAATATCACAAACTAAAACTGGAAAATCTATCAACAAAACTTGTTAGAATAATATCGCTTAAAACAGACTCTTCTCAGGATCTATCCTTCCTGCATTAACTTAAATGTCATATACCTGTTTGGGAATCCCTTTTGTGCAGCTTTCTTGTTTAAACAAAATAATATATCTATGTGGGCGGTAGAATGACAGTCAAAGGTATTGCCTCTCTTGACGACTCCATTTCTGAATCATCCATAAATGATGCAGGCCTTCTTTCGGGATTATGCACTGGAGGAAGAGTTACCACAAGTCCATCAGGTTTTGAACTTGATCCTAGAGAACGTTCTGAAATCATTTGTGCCCATGGCATCACGGAGGAATATGCTGGCAATTGATTGGGAGAGTTATTTTGTTGGACTTCTCTTGGGATCATATTCCCGTCTACAGATATGGCAATCTCGTCGTAGTCGACAAGAAACTGTTGACTAGTTCGGCGAGTGAAATTATAATGAGGCACACGAAAAAACATGGGGACAGACAACAACAACCATCGTCAAAAATGAAAGGAGCCGGGTCTTTAATTACTCTTTCTACCTTCCTTGCTAGACGCTGAAGATCGTCTTCGTCAATGTCACTGAATAAATTGACGAAACTAAACCAGTGATGGGGACATTTCACGGACAGCAGGGCATCACAAAGTTCCGTTAACAATGTCAGCATACACTCTTCGATGTTGTCTTCTGTCCAGAAACCAAGTGGCACCTTCTCTAGAGTGTTCAAAAAAATGGTTTTGATGTGGTAAGAACCAATTTCAGGGACAACCGGTTGAAGGTGATCCTTTAGGATGATTTTCAAAGCCACAAAGCATTTCCTTGCCACCTCTGGGACAAGCTTGGAAAGCTCAACTTCTGCCAAAGAGAACGAGAATCTCCAACTTCTTTGGTCCACGTCACTCGGTGCTGGCTTTGCCACCAGGTGACAACCAAGTGATATCATTCTCTGCGCATCAGCAAGACTGGGTCAGTACCTCGGTCGAGAAGGCCAGTCACTTAACGTAGGCCACTCGGTACAGTGAAAGCAAAGAGTTACGTCTGCCTCGAAGAGGGGTTTAATGCTGATCTTCATCGCTGGTCCCTTGCAATGTAGCTGAATTTTAGGTGTAGCATCGTACATTCCACAACAGCATGGCACACCAGGGAGATTTGATACACGCGTATTTTCTACAGCAACTTTGGCTTGATCTCTGATGAGTTTTGAACTGACACAGCTTCCTTGATAGCCAGGAGTGAGAGAAGTTAGCTTAGCGTAGCCAGTAAAACCAGCATCATCCGTTACGAAAGGTTCGACAAGAATGTGTCCTTCGCCAGAAAAAGTCGCTTTGTCTGCCAGGGAACAAAACATCACGTCTAGATCGGTGTATAAAGCATTAGTTTGACATGTTGAATTACAGGCACAATCTGTGGGCTTATAAGACAACATGAACGGTATCCCGTATCTTTCCACCGCACTTCCGGAGAAGATAAACTGGAATCTTGTTCTCTGCATTATTTGTTCCAGCTCAGTCCTGATGTCGTTCATCACCGCTAAAGTTTTGTCTTGGAACTCTGTTAGGTCTTCTTCGCGAGGAATGTTCTCGTCCACAGACAGAAGAATATCTCTAAGAGGTTTGGAGCTTCGTCCGGTAAAAATACATTTTCTGTGACCACACGTGACAGGAAAACAAGTAACCTGTAAAAAGGGGGCATTTACAGCTTATACTTAATTTAATTTTGTTGGGTTTCTTCATCTGTGGGTTGAGCTGTTTACAAACCCAAACAGGCCTATCTTTAAAGAAATCTCACTTTGGAAACACATGGGTATTCAAACAACTCTTAATTTTCCTTTACGGTCCTTAGAATCCGACCAACCTTGAAGCTCTATCTTTTACACCCGGCACCAGTTTCTTATCGTGAAAAACCCGGACAAGAGGTTTTTTTTATTACAAAAAGTTACTGAAGACCGGATGCAGTGGTGTAAATAGCAGATGAAAAAAAGCAGTTATTAAAAAGGGATCTGTTAGTATCCCCAATCAATGCTTGACAATGAGCCTGTATTGCAGATTATTCAAGAAAACAAACACAAAAATTTGTGTGTTTCAGTTGTTTTGGTACTCTCATTACTTACATGTAAGAGTACTGAGTCAACAGACTTGGTGTATCACAACGCCATTTATATATCAAAAAAGTCTCTTAAAAAAACGGAATTGTCTCTCACCACATATTAAGTTTCATGCCTTTGACCGTTGGTTCTACCTGAATGCCCAATTACAAGTGTTTATGACTTAAACTGAGTTATTCTAACGTTTGAAACTTTGGAACAAATCCTATGATGTTTCCATAAAAATAAAACCTCTTTAACGGATCAGTTTTGCACTGTGGAATGATTTCTTTTCATTTTAAAAAAGAACTGAATTTGCTCTGAATGAAAGGGCTAATATTACTTACGTACCAAGAAATGTCGTATTATGGCGAAAGCAATGACCAGAAACAGCGCACCACCTAGTGAAGATCCAGCAATTAACCAAAACTTTTTTGTACATGCAGATTCCCCATCTTTACAGTTGTCATTGAAACTCTTAAAGCTGCGCAGCAATTGTAGGAGAATGCCAGCTATTCCAAGGAAGGAGACCCATGCGATGGTACCTTTAATGGTCCGTATAATACCCCAACAGGGTTTCATACCTCACGAGAAAGAGGACAATAGCACAAAAAAATCACTCGGTTGGACCTTGTAACAGAAGATCATCACCTCGGTGTTCTAACCAGTGGTAAAGCATGAAAGAGTGCAGGCAATGATTATTCAAAAACAGTCGCCAAAGAATTCATTTCCTCTTTATTCTACATAGTTACACCGCAAACGCATAATTATATACTTTTCCATAACATGACGTCACAATAATCAACAGTAATTAGAGACTCCAAAATAGCCATTAGATTGAGAATTATCCTGATTCTCAATACTCTACAGCCATACTTGCATTTTGATTCAATTGTAGTGTCAATGATAATATCGAAAGAGACGGTGAAACATTGTAAATACTAAACATGTTTTTAGACTAACTTGAATTAAAATTGCTGTTAACTACGCAATAGACCTTTCAGGTAGCAACCACAAGTCCTATATTCAGCAGATTTGTGTAAAGGCCAATACAGAAAGAAATTATGTTTACTTGTTTTGATGAGCTTTGACTATACTGTCAAATAATAGCTAAAACATAGAACTGAAGTATTTGAATTTATGTTGTAAGGTCAGGATTCAAAAATTGTCATTGTTATCAGCCAATGGGCAGTGCAACTTATGGCATAGACGGTATACGATTTAAGGAGAAAGATAATTAACGACCAGGTTGGAATATAAATCAAACATAATGTAGATTCTCCAAAGAACTCTGAGACAATGCCACAGTGTTACAGTCTAATACTAATAACGCATACTCTGACTCAAGAGTTAGGAAGCCCTTACAAGATATGTCCATCGAACATTCCCTTCTGTCCTGAATCAGAGATAGCGAGGTCATTCAATAATTGAGTATTAGAATGTAGCAAGTTAAAACGAAATAGAATAACAAGGTAACATAAATTGTCATTGTTTCTGCTTAGCGTGAGCACATCCGAATTTATTCTAATAAGTGCAGCCGACTTCATTCATCAGTTAGTATTAATTATAGCCTCCCATGCAGGCGTTTTTAGGGGAGCTCGTTTTCCATCCCTCCCCACAAAGGCCGTTTGTGGGAGGGACGAAACACGAGCTCCCATAAAAACGCCTGCGTGGGAGGCTATATTAAATACTGTTTATCCCACAGAGTAAAACTAAGAGAGGCCACCTTTGCAAACCATATTTAGCGTGTTAACAGTCAGTTGAAGCATAAAAAAAAATAAGTTCGAAACTAGTCTCCTTTAGTGACCGTAAAACTTGAAGGAGCAAATTAATTAATTAGCATGACTGAAGTAAACAATTAATGTAACGTTGTTCGCATCAGTCGGAATGATCTGATTAAGAAAGTAAAATGCTGAGACAGGAAATGTATCATCTTACCTGTGCCGTAAACCACACCGCAGCAAACGGTAAATAAGCACACTCAAAAGTGAAATAGTGATGTAGTAAAAATTTAACTTCTTAGAGAAAATTCAAGAAGAGGCCATAAACATAGGGCCTTTTTGATTATGCCTACGTAATGTTTCTTTTTTTAGGCACTTAAGGAAGTAAAATTTTAATTGCAGTAGAAGGTCAAGGTTTTGAACGTGATGTCTAACGTACTCGCAATTAACAAATAACTTTTATAGATCTTGAATGCTACCAACCGTTAGATTTGATTTAATAAAGTACAGCGTTAAAATTGGTAGCAAGTGTCCCCCAAACTTGTGGCACTGTTTCCAAAAACTGTCTAGCAGATAGGGGAGACGTACAGAGTAGAATGGTGCCAGCATGCAAAGCTAGGGGTAAAACAATAAATTATTTAAGAAACCGTAACTGTTTAATTTATCGCCTTCTTGCGTCACGTTTATACCACAAAACTGTAATATCTGAATGAAGCTCTTGCACACTTCAGAGGCCGACCATGTTTTAGACTTGATTTAATATTTCTATAAAAAGTTTTAACCCTTATCGCTGATATCAGTGCTTAACCCGAATCACTTTTTCAGGGCTTCCTTAACGTGACTCATGACTCATTGACTCATTTGACTTACAAGACAAGCATTTCTCGTGAGTTGGAAAAAATGATAAATATGTCCTAAAATAAAAAACAACGTTATGGTCAGAGAAGAGTTTTGAGTTTCGTCTTTTGCTTATCCTTTAGTATGATTTTATGGCTAAACTGATACAAGTCACGAGTACTTATTACACACCGTGAACATTTCGAACGACACCTTTAAAGAGCCTACATCAAGTTTGTCATTATTTCGATACATGGTTGTGTCCCCCATTCTCAGTCCTTTATATAAAAACATTAATTAGGCATAGAACCTAGCCTTTGAATCCTTTATTGACCTTTTCATTATTTTTTAAACTTTGCGAAATTTGTATTCGAGTAAAACGTTTGGCCTTTCTTGAAGCATATAATTAAAGCTTGGAAAACCCATTATACAAAGAACTTTATCCAAGCAAAGGAGTGGACGTTCCCAGCATCTCAAAAACCAAAACTAGCAGTAGAAAGTAGTTGGTAAGGAATAAGAAATTCTTCTAAGTTTCTTTGTTGAAGCGAAGGAAGAGGTTTCGTACCTCTCTCTCTCTCTCTCTCTCTCTTGGCTTATAAGAAACTACATCAGGTTATTTTCCGGATGGCAGAGACGCCCCTCACAGGAAAGGCATGCAATATACTAACGGAAGTGTACATCTTCCCCCTGGTATTAATCAGTTGACATTCAACTTACATCTATATGGTCCTTTTGGAATTAAACTTCCTTTTTTGCTATTAGCTCATTTCTATTTTACGCAACTACTTTTTGGAACGCTCCTTCAATTTCAAGATAAATTTTGCACTTTGCAGAAATAATGACTCAAAATATCATGACAGATCATCTTTAAACTGCTTATTTGACTAATATAATTTCATATTTTTGGGGTAGTATCCCATAAAGAAGAGATAGACTACAAGTTCATGGCGGCACGTAATGGATAAACCATTCAGCACAATTGGGAGTTTGAAAAAAGGTTACTGAAAACATGAATTCATTAACGTGAGTCACCAAAACGAATCTCAGGGATATTAAGGCGTCGGTCAGCGACGGTCGGCAAGGGACAGGTAAATATGGAAACTGAAAACTTGTGGATGAAGAGTCTAGTTAGATTCAAGATAAAACTAAAACGCACACAATGCGTTTTTTAATTCAGTTTTTTGTCTATAGCCGCCATTTGTCACGGCGAATCCGCAAGTATAGGGGTGCTTAATTTTTGTGTCGTTTACCAACAAAGTTTACGTCAAGTAACTTCAGACAAGTGTGACAAAAAGAGAATAAGAGAGTGTCAATTTTTTCTTATCAACCATCCCACTCCCGTTACATATAAAGGGGCATAACTATCTTATTATTGGGCTGGCTGTGGCACCCCAATTATGGAATAGGCTTTCTCCCGTCGAAAAAAGACAAAATGGTGGACGGCTCAACCAGAAGGCCTTGCGTGTCCCTCTCCCCCTTCAATAGGGCCGATTTTTGCAGAGAGGGGACGGGTCATTTCAGGTCGTCTGGTGAACAGATGTGGAAGTCGATTTGGAACTAACACAGAATTATTGCGTGGAGTTGTTCACCCTATATCTACGCCGAATGATTATCGAAATACAGTATTCGATGATGTTATTAGCCTGTCTGGGAGCTACAGAAATAATGCCCTCCCACGTTACCCACGGGAAAGCTTCAGCTTGTTGCAATTAACTCCCTGCATAGAAAAGGTCTTTCCTCACAAGAAAAGAATATCCTATTTGTAGATCGCCAACTCAAATAGAAACATATTCACTTGGATAGTTAGAAGGACTTATAAATGCAATATCTGAAATAAAACTGAAACTTAATTTGCTTTGCGAGTTTTAAAAACTAGAAAATTACTGTTTTTTAACATCAAGAGAAGATCTCTGTTAAAAAACACCAAAATTGACTCTCCGTGTCACGTTTTATAAGCGTAAAACGACAATAATTTTTGGAATTTCCGGTTAAATAAATAATAATAGCGGAGCTCCACCCGCGCGCGAAGCACGCGAGCGTGGGCGGAGCCCCATAGGTAAGGAAATGTGGTAATCTACCCATCCCAGAAAATTTGGTAATCACGTGACCGTACGACCGTCCGTCCGCACCACAGGGAAACCAATGTCTACTCTCACACTTTCTAGCTAGTTTGGGAGCCCAAGGAAAAACTAATTGCACATCAATGTTGTGATCAATTGACAGCTGTCAAAAGAGGGCACCCGCTGACCAGTATCACCTGACCGTACCGCGGGCTCAAGTGTTCACCCATCGAGGTCGAGTATTTTTTTGAAGTTATCCGCTGACAATTACCAGTTTCAAATGATCGTAGGCTCAAGTTCATTTTTTCCAATGATTCATATGAAATATGTTGTGTTTATGTCACTCTGACCCCGCACTGTTAAGATTTTGATTTCAAACTGACCTCGGACGCGAAAATTCAACCATTTTTTTTTTAAATACAGGCGGGGAAGAACTTTTATTACCATGGTCACGCGTTGGTCCTGCTGTGCGTCCAATTTTTATACTCTGATTAGTCAAAAATTGACAGGTGAGTTCATGCGGAAATTTATGCAGCATCATGAAAGTTGTTTACTTTGAGAGCAGAAGCTGACAGAGTTTTGTGTCAACTTGTGATGTATTTAACTGTCTTCTCCACTGGATGTACAAAATGAAATACAGCTGCTATCAAGAGTCTCCTGTTATTCATGGCTGGTTTGTTTATGGGGTTTTTGGTTGAGAAATGCGTTGCTTGTCAAAATTCGGTAATCCGATTTCGGATTGCATCGTTTTCGTTTTCCACCTTGCTTAATGCGTAAGAGGGCTTAAAAGTCTCAAGCAACTGTGGCCTTCCATGATATCTTTCAGGAACCGAATCTCGAATGGTAAGCCTGAGTAATTATTGTATTTGATGTTTGTTTTTGTTATATCTAATTTCATGAAGTCGAGCACAGTTTATGCAGCAAGTTTATGCACGTTTGTAAGATTTGAGTCAATGATCTGACCTAGTATCAGTTTTGATATAAGCTTACAGAACTGTGAAAAGCCTTCAGATATATTTTCTCACCGCAAATAGAAAGAAAACGTTCCGAAGAATATTTAGCTATAAATTTGGCTGTAGAAAGAAAACTTTGAGCGATTTTCTTGCTTCGAGAAGTGTCATCGTTGAAAAAAACTAACACCGGGAGGCCGGCTGAAATTACAGTAAAACATAATTAACTTTTAAGTTTAAAGACTCACAATTTTTAGAGACACTTTAATACTTGTCTTCGTGAATGTAATGTTTCACCGAATTATCTTTCTTTTGTTGATTGTTAGTACTCTCTTGCAATTTTAATCGCTCGTCCGTGACGTTTGTTTTCATCGTTCATGAACATCGCTTGCAGGAGTACTTTAAATGTCGCGCGTATCAAAAGCTTTATAAGATTACACATCGTTATAACTGAAACCATTAAATAACAAAAAAATATAATTATAAATTCGTTATTATGTTGAGACGTAACTCTTTTAAACTTCATTCAAACACTCGATTACACTGACAGCTCGCACTAGAAACGAGAACCGGCCGGCCTAATGAGTGATTTTGGAAATTTTTTTTAACGGTTTCGCTAAAAGCCCACGATTGATCGTCCCGAACATTGACTGAGTGCAATTTGTGTTGAAAAATTGTGAAATACCGTGTTCTGTCCGAGGTCTGTATGATAAATTGTACGTACTGTTTCACCTCAGATCGTGTATAAAAAGTATAAAAGGTTGGTTTACACACCCCCAGATTTGTTGGCAAGAATTTGTAAAGTAAACCTGTCGAACGCAAAAAAATTCAGCCTGATTTGTTTTCCTAGAATTTGTTTTCGAGGCCTTATCTACAGCTGTGATCAAGAGCCATTATGGCTCTTGAGTGTGATCGAAGATGTTTGCTCTTTTTTGGGTGTACATATAAGGCTATCAACTCGATGTAAGATGTTTCACTCTAAAATAACTTAGCCTTTCCGTCAAAAGTCACATGAATGTGCCCTCAAGTTAACTGATTTGTGGATCACAAGTTTATTGTTTGATTTAAATTATAAATTTATCAATGGGAGCTTCGCTTTTAGCCCTGGCTAAATCTATATATTAATAAAATAAAGACTTTATTAATGTGTCAAATACCTCGCTTACACTGAGTGTAAACTAATTGTGGACACCTAGCTAACTAACTACCTAAAAAAGAAAATCAAACAACTAAAATAAACACTCTCTCTCTCTATTCTTAAGAAGCTTGAAAAGCTGGATGCCATCGAAGAAGCAGTGAATAACCTCGGGAAGTCTTTCGGGAAGTTAGAAGGAAGAATACATACTCTCGAAGATGCGTACGCTACCACCAAGCGTGATGTTGAAGATCTTAAGGAAAGTTTAAACGCAAACGAAACAGATAAAAAGACGACATCCGAGAGAATACAAAAACTCGAAGACAGCACAAAATCGAGCCTAGCGGCCCTACAGAAAGAGAATGATGAACTCCGTGCCAATTTTAAATTGATCGAGGATAAGAACTTATATCTGGAAGCATATTCTAGGCGCGAAAACATTAAGTTTGAAAACATTCCAGAACAAGAAACGAACAAAGAGGACACGGAGATGACGCTGCGCACCTTTCTGGAAACGGAATTGGGTTTTGGCGACGCTGCCAATGTTGAAATACAGCAAGTTCGTCGTGTAGGAAAAAAGAGAGGAGAAAGTTCCAGACCCATACTTGCTAGATTCTTACGATATAAGGATTGTGAAAAGCTTCTTTCGCTGGGACATCGTCTACGAGGAACAAACTACAAAATGTACCAAGATCTTCCGTTTGAGATCGTCGAACGTAGGAGAGCGCAAATGGAAACCTTCAAAAAGGCAAGAGGCAACAACATTCCCGCAGCTTTCAGCAAAGCCCAACCTGACAAACTGTTCATAAGAGGGAAATTGTGGCCTTTTGGAATGCCATTAGAACTGTGA